ATCAGACAAACTATACTCAGTGAAGTGTTTACTAAAAATATAAAATATCATATACATTCTCTTAACTAGATTCATGTCTATTAAGGAATGAATTATTTTTAATTTTTTGTATTTAGGAATTAGATGGCCCATCCTACTTCCTAGTCTATCAATCTGGGAGCTCCACCAAAACCCGACTACAATGGGAAACCTTTTTGGAATTTGACATATCAGTAGCAAAGATTTCATTATCACAGCCACCCCAAGTAATTCCAGTACAGCATACTGACAAACAAGTGCTGCACAGTGGCTGAACGTAAGGAATACCAGAAGAGTGTCTACTGCATATTAAAAGGTATTTGACTTCGTGTATCATGACATGTTGTGGCTGATATTGAGAAGAATGGGAATACCAGAGCATTTGATTGTGTTAATGAAGAACCTATACCTGGATCAGTAGGCTGTTGTGCCAACGGAGCAGGGTAACCTTACATGGTTTGGAAGTGGGAAGGAAGCATGTCAGGGCTGTATTCTCTCTATATACCTGTTCCATCTGTATGCTGAGCAAATTATCCAAAAAGCTGGACTCTATGAAGAAGAATATGGTGTCAGGATTGAAGGAAGAGTCATCAATAACCTATGTTATGCAAATGGCAACTTTGCTTGCTGAAAGTGAGGACTTGAAGCATTTGTTACAGAAGATCAAGAAATGCAGCCTTCAGTATGGATTGCATCTCAAAATCAAGTAAACAAAGAATCTTACCAATGGACCAATAGGCAGTGTCATGATGGATGAAGAGGAGACTGAAATTGTCAACAGCTTCATCTTGCTTAGATCCACAATTTCTCTTGGTACAAGCAGTCAGGAAAGAAGGAAACTCATTGTACATGGAAAATCTGCAGTTAGGGACCTTTCCAAATTATTGAGGAGTAGTGATGTCATTTTGAGGACTAGGGTGCATCTGATTCAGGCCATGGTCTTTCCAATTACTAGCTATGCATCTGAGACCTAGACAATAGAAAAGGATGACAGAAAAAGAACTGACACCTTTGAGCTGTGGTGTTGGAGAAGAGCACTTAACATCTCATGGACGGCCAAGAAAACAAACATGCTTTGGAGAGAGTGAAGCCAGAGTGCTCTTTGGAGGTGAGAATGACAAGGCTTTGCCTCGCATACTTTGGACATGTTGCTAGGAGGTGCCATCCTAGGAGAGGGACATGATGTTGGAAAGGGTGGAGGATCGGCGAAGGAAAGAAAGACCCTCAACCTGATATGATGAATGCTGCAATGGGCTCTTGTATGTCAGGAAGTGTGAGGATGGCACAGGATAGAACAGTGTTCAGATCCTTTGTTCATTGGGTCACTATGAGTCATGCTCAACTCAACGGCACCTAACAACAAGGAATTCATTAAAATCACTAAGTGACTTGCTTCAAAAAACCCACACGGTGTTTTTGTTTGGAGGTTTTGGGGAGAAACAAACATGGCTTCATCATTAGGAGCTACATCACTTACCATACACAAAAAAATCAACTTAGATGGACCAGAAACCTAAGTGTAAATCCCAAAACTATAAAGAACATAAGAGACAAATTGGAAGCAAGCTTAAAAGAACTCACCAATAGTATATAGTGGCTGTCAAATACAGCTAGAAATACACAACCAGGAGAGAATAAAATTGATGAATGAGACCTTCTAAAGATTAAATTCCTGTGCACATTAAAAACTTTTCCAAAAAGGTGAAAAGAATACCTGACCAGGAAAAATTATTTGACAATACTATCTCAGACAATAGTCTCGTAACAAAAGTTTACAGATTACTATGGGGCCTTCACAAGAAAAGAATGATAACCCAATTACAAAATAAGCAGGAGACATGTAAAGACTTTTCTCAGAGGAAGATATCTGGTGGCCAGCAGCTACATGAAGAAATGCTAAAAAACCACTGGCAATAAGAGAGATGCAAATCAAAGCCACAATGAGATACCATTATCACCCCAGTAGCAGTGGCACAGTTTAACAGGCCAGCAAGTATATGAAAAGATGAGAATTCTCATATATTATTCAAGGGATTGTAAAATGGTACAACCACTCTGGAATGCAGTTTGGCACTTCCTCAAAAAACTGAACAAAGAAATTCCATAGGACCCAGTTATTCCAATTCTTGAAATATACCCCAAGAAAATCAGAACTAAGACACAAACAGAGATTTGTACACCAATGTTAATAGAAACATTATTCACCATCACAAGAACATGGAAAAAGCCCAAATGTAAAACTACAATAGAATGGACTGAGAAACTGTGATACATACACACGATGGAGTACTGTGCAGCACTCAAGAGCAATGATTTCAAAAATCAATACCTAACTTGGGAGAGATTGGAAGAGTATTGTGCTGAGTGAATCCAATCTTATAAGGGTAAATACTACCTAAGACCATTACTATAGAGAGAGCCCGGTTTGCCTAGTGAATAGAAAGTTATGCTACCAAGCCAAAGGTGGGTGATTTTAATCTATGGTCCTTAGGCCTGGTTTTAATTGTTTTTTATCATTCTTCTAAGTGGTATAGCACTGGTCTGTTCATTTGCTATAAGAGGTAACTGGTAGTTGCTGTAATGCTAAACACTGTGACACTGATGTGTCAAATGTGATAATGGTTATCCATGGTGGACAGTATTTGGTGGAGCTCCCTAGTTAAAATAAGCTTGGTAGCAGGAGTGGCATCCACTTCTGAAATAGCTTGCCTCCTGAAACTCTATGAACATGGAGAAACAGTGAAAGTTATACAAGTGTTCAGGTCTTTGGTTCACAGGTTGCTATGAATGTGATGGTATCAAACAACAAAAAGACCATTACTGTAAAAATAGGATAACTAGTAAAATTAGTAAAATATAGGGATTCAAAGGGGAAAAGAAGGGTGAGGGTGGGCAGGGAGGAAATCACAGGGTCACACAATTTGGTGGGTGGGGCAGGTAAAGGAAATGAAAAAGATCCGGTGAGGATCTGGAAAGACAGAATAATGATGGACATAGTTCAATGGTGATTCATTTCATAAAACATAATGATTGTATGAAACACAATGTGAATGAGGATAGTATGAAACATAACATACACGAATTTTGTACGCAAACCAGTGTAAAAAAACAAAAAACAAACCAGAAAAATGGCTTCATTGAGTCTTCTGATTATAAAAGTAATACATGATCATTACTGAAAAATCTACAGAAGATCAATTTTTTTTATTTTGTTACTACAGAAGATAATTTAAAATACTTAAGTCCCATCAGCCTATATATGGCTAACATTTACCAAGAGCTTATACTTCTTTTATTATCTAATTTAATCTTCACAAAAAGCCTTTAAAAAGGGAACTATGACAAAGAAGTTTGAAGAGAATTCATGATTTCTGAAAAGTAGAGCTAAGAACTAACCACCATAAGATGATAACATCTTCCCAACCTTAAGAGTGTACATGAGAGTTGCGGCAGGAGAGCGGCGGGGCTGAGAGCGTGACTCGCCTGCTCCGGCGCTGCCCCAGCTTTTGCTACCTCCACCCGCGCAGCCAGTCCGAGGAGAAGCCCAAGGAGGGAGTGAAGACAGAGAATGACCATATCAACCTGAAGGTGGCTGGGCAGGATGGCTCTGTCGTCCAGTTCAAAATCAAGAGGCACATGCCTCTGAGCAAGCTGATGAAGGCCTACTGTGAGCGACAGGGCTTGTCAATGAGACATATTAGATTCAGGTTTGATGGGCAGCCAATTAATGAAGCAGAAACTCCAGCACAGCTGGAGATGGAGGATGAAGACACAATCTATGTGTTCCAGCAGCAGACGGGTGGCACATGGGCGACCGGAGACCTGTTGGGATGTCGCATCTAGGGGAACCATTTCACGTCTGTGTCACCTGTCCTTGCATTTGTGATCCAGTAGTAAATGTGAACATGCCACCACAGGTGTCTTCGGAAACCCAACGACGATCACCAAATTATTTTCCTCTCTCCTTTATGTACTTCAAGTGCAACTCAACACTATTTCTGCAGGGATTAATCTACAGCTGAAATTGGACCAATACAAATTGCTGTCTTTGTTTAGGTTAAATGAATTGCAAGGTTTTTTGGGGCTTGTTATGTTTTTATTGTTTTTTTTCCTCGTAGAACACTTTTCTCCAACTGTGGGCTGTTCATTTTCAGTCTTCATTTTGAGACTTTGGCCCCCAGATGTTGTGATCTTCTCCCCACTGCTTCATCTAATCATGTAGGTAGCTCATGTGTATTGCAGTGGGTGCTTCTTCTGGACATATGTTTTGGGGGCCTGGTGGGGATGAAAGACAAAATTTCACTTGCTATTTGTTGAAGGTAAAGTTTGCAAAATTTTTGTTTAATATTGCAAATTTAAGCATTGTCAGAAAATGGTAAAATCAAATTGAATCTGTTGAGTTGCTGCATAAAAGGCAAACAAGGGAAATAGCAGAGCCCT